GGGGTTTCACCATGTTGACCAGGATGGTCTCGATCTCTTGACCTTGTGATCCACCCGCCTCGGCCTCCCAAAGTGCTGGGATTACAGGCTTGAGCCACCGCGCCCAGCCCTAGTTTTGTATTTTTAGTAGAGACAGGGTTTCACCATATTGGTGAGGTTGGTCTGGAACTCCTGACCTCTGGGGATCTGCCCACGTCGGCCTCCAAAAGTACTGGGATTACAGGTGTGAGCCACCACCCTCAGCCTCAGCCAATCTTCTTAAGCAAAGCATTCAGTCCAATTATATTTGTTGCAATTGGCAGTTATTTAGATTTATTTGTACCAACGTATTTTTTTTCTTTGCATTTTCTCCAACTTCTTTCCTGTTTTGGATTATCTTTCTCTCCTTCCATTTGTCTCCCTACTAGTTTTGAAGCCATACAGTCTATTTCTTTTACCTTTTTTTTACTCTGAAACAGAGTCTTGCTCTGCTGTTCAGGCTGAAGTGTAAGTGGCACAATCACAGCTCTCTAAAATCTCAACAATTTCTTTTATCTTATACCCTAGCATGCATACTTAAACTTTTTAAAGTTGAAAGTTAATCAAGATGATTACCATGATTCAGAAGGAAACAAAGATATTAAAGCATATTAACACCAATAAACTTTCTCCTGATTTACATGCTATTGTTGTCAAATAGTTGTATGCTTTTAAAAAAACCAAATATTTTTTCTTCTAGACGGAGTTTCACTCTTGTTGTCCAGGCTGGAGTGCAATGGCACAATCTTGGCTCACTGCAACCTCCGCCTCCCAGGTTCAAGTGATTCTTCTGCCTCAGCCTCCCAAGTAGCTGGGATTACAGGTATGTACCACCATGCCCGGCTAATTTTTGTATTTTTAGTAGAGACGGGATTTCACCATGTTGGCCAGAACGGTCTCAATCTCTTGACCTTGTGATCCACCTGCCTTGGACTCTCAAAGTGCTGTGATTACAGGTGTGAGTCACTGCGCTTGGCCCCAAATACCTTTTGGGTATTTGCCCAGGCTGGTCTGGAACTTCCTATCTTGGGTGATCCACTTGCCTCTGCCTCCCAATGTGCTGCTGGGATTACAGGTGTGAGCCACCACACCCGGCCTGGTGTATTTTAGTAGAGATGGAGTTTTGCCATGTTGGCCAGGCTGGTCTTGGACGCCTGACCTTAGGTGATCCACCCACCTTGGCCTCCCAAAGTGCTGAGATTACAGATGTGAGCCATCGCGCCTGGACTATTTTTATTTTTATCTATTTATTTTGAGACGGAGTCTTGTTTTGTTGCCCAGGATGCAGTGCAGTGATGTGATCTCGGCTCACTGCAGCCTCTACCTCCTGGGTTCCAGCGATTCTCCTGCCTCAGCCTCCTGGGTAGCTGGGATACAGGCATGCACCACCACGCCCAGCTGTCTTTTATTTTTAGCATTTACTTATGGCACTTGGAATGAATATTGTAGAAACAGTACTAAAAAAAAAGAGTGCTTCCTCTTCCTAGCTGAGATGACACATATCATTTATGGGCCATTTTAACTTTTACTATCTGAAAATTTCTTAATTCAGAAACCCATCAGATTCCAAAGGTTTCAGATAAAGGGTTGAACTCATATATGTAATGAGTCAACATGTAAACGGAATTTACTGTTATTTCAGCAGTAAATGGTCTTCAAAAAACAAAAAAACAAGAGGTAAAACACATTACAAATGCTGACCTTTAACAACTGAAGTTTCTATCTCTGAAACAGGTTCTGGTTTTTCTTCTCCATTAGATTCATCAACTTCTGCCACTGTTGTTAACTCTGGTTCACTCTTGTAGAGTCTATAATCTGGACCCTTGAAAGGAAGACATGTAATTACACAAAAAAACCTGCTAAAAGTTTCTTTTAAAATGTTTCCTGCTAAAGATACAAATCAAACTCTAAAAGTTAGTACCCCTAGTGAGCCATCTGGGATATATACCTATGTCACAACTACATAGAAAGAAGAAATTTGAAAAATTTTTAAGTGGCAAAACTTTGTTTTAATGAAGAATATTTTTGGCTGAGTAAGGTAGCTTACAACTGTAATCCCAGCACTTTGGGAGGCCAAGGCGGGTGTATCACCCGAGGCCAGGAGTTTGAGACCAGCTTGGCCAACATGGTGAAACCTTGTCTCTACTAAAAATACAAAAATTAGCTGGGCATGGTGGTGCACGCCTATAATCCCAGCCATTCGGAAGGCTGAGGCAGGAGAATCACTTGAACTCAGGAGGCAGAGCTTGCAGTGAGCAGAGACTGTGCCACTGCTCTCCAGTCCAGGCAACAGAGTGAGACCCTGTCTCAAAAAACAAAACAAAACAAAAACAAAAACAAAACAAAACAAAACAGTATTTCTGTTTCTCTTGGGAACAAAGTCACATTTTTATTATGAAATAATTGAGGGCTAAAAATAATTATATTAACTCAATAAATTTTCATTCAGAAGGTGGTCTAAGTGAGGCTCATCCCAGCACTAACATTCTTGTCACAGAATTTTTGTTGTTCTCAAATTTGCTCAATTCCTATTTCCTTATTCTCTTTGCTTATTACATCCTACATTATTTGCTTAACCCTAAATGTATTTCCCATTTTCAAGGGTGACATCTCTCCCTAGCAACATCCTCAGAAATATTCTTTGAATAGTTTTCCTAGACCAAAATGCCCACATCTCAGCCCCTTTACCATTCCTACTAACGGTCTTTTTCTTTCTCCCTTCTTTCTGATCTAAGGTATAATTTTGCCTCTAATATCCTGAATCGATATATGGCTCCTTCATCATGGGGAAAGTTACCACTTTATAAAAATATGAAAAATGCTATGAAATTATGAAATATTGAAATTATAAAAATATTTAAAAATGAGAATAGGAAAAACCAAAACAGGAAAGACACAAATGATAAAATTATATATAAACCAAAAACTGCTGGCTAAAAATGAGGTTATAAAGGTTAAAATAAAAAAAATTTTGAGTGTAAAATAAATTTTCAAAAATGAGAGGACATGTATGATTGATTATTCTGTGGCTATTCCAGCCACTTACACAGTGAGATCCATTTCTTGGATATCCTTGAACTTGATACATCTTCTTTTCTTCAGGCAGATGAACTGGGCCCCTGCTATAACAGAGCAAGGAGCTGCTATCACTGGGCAGAGGGGGGATTATGGGAGGCTGCTCTGTAAAGTCATAGGACCGAGGAAGTGGAGGACGAGGTGGGACTACTTCCTCTTCCTAAAGATTGTAGAACAGTCACCTTATTTAGGTAAGCAGATTGAATTAAGCATATCTAAATTCTTTGCAATGGTATATTAACTTAAATTTATTTTAAGATACTAAAAGGGACACTGCCAAGCCAAAAGTCTAATAATGAAAAGTAAAATTGACAATTTTTATCATCGCCAATAATGGGAATTTAACATAAAATTATATCTAATTCTTTCCTGTAATATATAGGTTAGCTTCACACTGAAGCTCAACATTGAAAAAGACTGCTGTGTAAAACTAATTACTGGGTTTCATTTTGAAACTAGAAGGAAAAAACTGATTTTAAAATCCTACTCATATTTTCAATTTATCTTATTTATGTATTTATTTTGTAGAGATGGGGTCTCACTATATTGCAGTGGTTTGATTACACATAGCTCATTACACCCTTGAACTCCTGGGTTCAAGGGATCCTCCTGCCTCAGCTTCCCAAGTAGTTAGGACTATAGGAACACCATGCCTGGTTAATCTTTTAATGTTTTGTAGAGACGGGGGTCTTGCTATGTTTAGCACGCTGGTCTCAAACTCCTGAGCTCAAGCCAGCGTCCTGCTTTGGCCTCCTGAGGTGCTGGGATTATAGGCATGAACCACTGTACCTGGCCCCACAATTTTTAAGAGAAGAAAAAAAAAAGTCATCTCTTTGACTGGCTTTTACACAAAATTCAAAATAATAGATTCTTTTGGTTAGGTTGACAGTATCTCTTTGTAGTTATTTCTTTATGCTATGATGACACACAGTCAAGTTATCTATCAATCACTCTTTAAATTTTACATAAGAAACAATAAGTATTCAAAAATTACTTAGATTAGAAAAAGTACAATGTTAAAGTTCTAACATAGATAAAAAGCAGAGATTCCATTTTTTTCCATTAAAAAAGGGAAGAAAAATCACATATTAGAAGCACCAAATTACTGACCCAATAAAATTTCAAGATTAAAACAATACCTATTCAATATATTTTAAAAATATTTTTTGTTACTAAGATTAGAGAAGACAATTACTTCTAGTTTATGTCTGAAGCATTAAAAGTAATTTATAGTTAGAAAAACAATCCAAACTTACCTCATTTTTGTACTTAACTGTTGAGAAAGGCTTTGATCCTATCATGCCTAGAAATGTTAGAAAATGTAGCTATATTAAACAAATCTAACACTATAAAAAATAACAATTTCTTTTTTTTTTTTCTTTTAAGTTTTTCTATGAGGACAATGGTTAGATTCTTTTTTGTTAAGACAAAGTTCTTGCTCTGTTGCCCAAGCTAAAGTATAGTGGTGTGATCTCAGCTCACTGCAACCTCTGCCTCCCGGGTTTAAGCAATTCTTGTGCGTCAGTCTCCCATAGCTGGGACTAGAGGTGTGCACCACCATGCTCAGCTAATTTTTGTATTTTTAGTAGAGGTGGGGTTTCACCCTGTTGGCCGGGCTGGTCTCGAACTCCTGACCTGAAGTGATACACCTGCCTCAGCCTCTCAAAGTGCTGGGATCACAGGCATGAGCCACCATATACAGCTAAAAAAAAATCAATTTCTTTCTTTCCTTTTTTCTGAGATGGAGTTTTGCTCTTGTTGGCCAAGCTGGAGTGCAGTAGCATGATCTCGGCTCACTGCAACCTCCGCCTCCTAGGTTCAAGCAATTCTCCTGCCTCAGCTTCCTGAGTAGCTGGGATTACAGGCATGTGCCACCATGCCTGGCTAATTTTTGTATTTTCAGTAGAGATGGGGTTTCACCATGTTGGTCAGGCTGGTCTCAAATTCCTGACCTGATCCACTTGCCTCGGCCTCCCAAAGTGCTGTGATTACAGGTGTGAGCCACCACTCCTGGCCAAAAGAACAATTTCATGTCATGTATATATTTTTTTAAATTTGGGTTCAAGAGATTCTCTTGCCTCAGCCTCCCAAGTAGCTGAGACCATAGGTGTGCACCACCATACCTGACCAACACATTACCTTTTCTATGTCTAGATATACAAATAACATTGTGTTACAACTGTCTGTAGTATTCGGTACATACAGTCACATGCTGGTTTGCAACCTAGAAACAACAGGCTATACCTAATAACCTAGGTGTGTAGTAGGCCATACCATCTAGGTTTGTTTAAGTGCACTGTGATTGCACAAGACAATGACCTAACAATGCATTTCTCAGAACGTAATCTGTCACTAAGTGACACATGACTGTAATACTGTGGTCAGTCACAAAACAAAATGCAAAGCTAATTTACCTATTTCTGTAGCACCTCTTTGCTGCTTGTGTTTACTCAGTCCTTCCATGACATCTTGAATTCGCCAAAGTTCTTTCTGAATCTGTGCTCGCTGAATTCCTGCTGATTCCGTCTATCAGTAAAAATGGATAGACCATATATAAGAAAAAAGTCATTTACTGAAGTTAAATTATTATATATTAATTATATAAATTATGTATTTTAAAAATGAGAATTGCAGTGAATTACGTGTTACGAATATTTAATGATTGATGTGACTCTCCCAATTTTGCAACTCCAGTGGCAAATATAAAAGACTGAGCAGAGGAAAAAAAAATACTTAATTTTCATACTGAAGTATAATATTTTAAATCTTTCCAATAAGCTTTGTCTTGCATTATTTATGATCCCAGGAAGGCATACTGATTTAAAGGGACCAAAAATGGAAAACACAAACAGAGAAAATGAAAACAGAATAGAAACAAATGCCAAAATAAAAAAAACACTTCTAGGAGGGGGAGATGGGGAAAGGATAAGAAATGGAAGGTATACTAACTTCCTAAGTTCTAGAATATAAAAACAACAACAAAGGGACAACTAATGAAATATATTCAGATGAGTTTTGACTGACAAGAGTTTAAATGTTTTTTTTTTTTTTGAGACGGAGTTTCACTCTTGTTACCCAGGCTGGAGTGCAATGGCGCGATCTCGGCTCACCGCAACCCCCGCCTCCCGGGTTCAGGCAATTCTCCTGCC